CACACACACACACACACACACACACACACACACACACACACACACACACACACACACACACACACCACTCCCCTTTTCGTGTTTCCCTGATTACTGTGGCTGTACATCTGTTTTAATGTCCAGATTGGGATTGTTTTTGTGTCTTCTTTTGTTTTCCTGTTTAGTTTTGGGGTTTTTTTTCTGCACATATTTTGCAATTGAACTTCTGCATATTTTTTGCTATTCGAACCTATTATCTATTAGATTTTTCAGCTTATTCAGTGGTATGGTGCTCTGACTTTTGTTTTTGTAACTTTTATCCTTTTCAAACAACTTAACTTCCTTTTAGTGAAATATTTTCCTCATAAAATACGTTGAGATCACTTTTCTTCCCTTCAAAAAATGTATAGTTCTTTTTAAAATCTCCTTCAGCATACATGCTCTCTTTTTGTCTTGTTTTGCTACTTTTAGCTTTTAGCTATTTTAAGTTTTTGCTGTATAGTTTTCAGTTAGTTTTTTTTAGCGTTTAGCGTACATTTAGTGGCTTTTAGTTTGTGTTTTGTTACGTCTATGGCTAGCTTTTTGCTACATTACTTTTTAGCGAGTGTTTCAGTTTCAGACTCGTCAGCAAATTTCAACAAAATCAATGAGCACCTAACATCCACGTTGCATTTTCAATGAGATTTGTTGTTGTTGCAAACAAATATCTACTGAGTTGATGCAGAGACAGTAAACATCATTTTTTAAACTTACAAATCCAACGAAACACACCTGAACTCKGCAGTCTGCTGCACTCATGCTTGCGCAGAGATCAACAGAGGACATCTGCAGCAGCAGCAGCTCGATGCTCATTGTCATGTGCTGCTGCGCTGAAGAGGTGAAGAAGCATGTGACTGTCATTCTGCTGCATAGGAAAGCCCCAAACCTTTGAGAGACTTCAGGTACAGACAATGGTTCCACACCCTAATCCTTTTATCACAAAGAAGAAGCAGTTAAAAGTGAAGGGCGGCTGAAATGTTTGTGGACGTGCATCGGTTCTGTGGGAAGACCTGCACCAGTGGACACACACGAGGGGACATGTGGGTAAATGCAAGATTGGTAACAGAAGAAAGAGATCATTTTGATAGTTGTAGGCCGGGATGGGCAACGTTTTTCTCCAAGAGTTATTTAGACTTTGTTAAAAAGGATTTAAGTTACACACAGTGGACTCATGGGCCCAGCTTAACACCTGCATCTATCACATACAATACATCATCTGCAAAAAATGAAACATGCTCAACAAACATGCCTCTGTCTTTACTGTATAAATGGGCTTACTGGGCTTTTTCATTAAATGTTTCCAATGAAAACCAGATTGTTGTACAGTAGTCCTTTGGCTTATTAAAGCCATAAAAGTTTACGATTTTACAAAATCTTGATTATGTTTTTATACATCTTAATCATTTATGACAAAAAATAATCTCCAAATATGCACCATTGACTATGAAGTCGACCACATTATTTGTAATGAATGAGTGAAATCTGCAGAATCAGATTTTGTTGCCAACAGTTTTGAGTCATTTGTTTACTTTCAAACACACTTCAGACAATCTTGGCTCATGACAGACTGTGAAATAATGCCCAGATGTCAACAAAGCAGTAGAACCATAGATTCAATAAAATCCAAACATTTATATTAGTGAATATGTTTAAACGATTTAAAAAATGTCAAACATTTAGGCCTAATCGTTTCAGAGCCGGTTTCACAGTGAGCTAACATTCAGCCAGGCCATATAAGCACTGACGACTCCCATATTGGTTAGGACATCACATGTGCTGCTGAGATAAGCATGACTGTTTAAAA